AAGAGTTGGAATAACGTCAACAAGACGACTAAGCTGAGGGATTACCAACCAAGAGTTGGAATCAGGCAAAGACTACCAACCAAAAGTTGGAATAACAAACTCCACAAGGGAAACTAAGGACTACCAACCAAAAGTTGGGATCAGTCCAACAAAAATTTACCAACCAAAAGTTGGAATCAAACAAAGGCTACCAACCAAAAGTTGGGCTCATAAACACAAAAGACAAACCTTGTCATGGTTATTTACAACCAAGGTTGTCAAACTCGCGAGTCTACTCAGACTCGTAAAGGGTTAGTAGACTCGACTCACAGACTCAACTCGCAAACTCGTACGAGTCTATGAGAAGTTAAAAATGACTTTCAAAAATCTATATGTGACACATACGTGACACACACATGTATTTTTAAACTTGTAAATGTCTCATATGTGATACAAATATGTATGATAGAATACCAATTAACATCGAAATTTAAATTTCATACATAACAAATTTCTTAACAAAAAATCTCAAAAAATAAAACAAACAAAATAGAAAAGTATGCATTTAAAGACATAAAGTACTAATTTATTTTTAATTGACTACTACATAAAGCAAACAAATCATAAAACAGATATGCTAATGGATTTAAACATAAAAACTCCATTAAAATCACCACCACCAATATCATCACCGTCATTTTCATCGGTATTTTGAGTATCATCATCAAATTCTACCCCGGATGAAGCACCTTCTTCATCATTAACCAAAGTTGGGTTGCTTGAAATTCCACTTTACCAAATTCAACATTTCTACCACCACCGCCACTTTGTACAACATTAGTAACGAGAACATCAACTTCCACAACATTTTTAACAATAACGTCATCTTACTCAACATTAACTTCAGTTTGCATATTTTCCTCATTAGGATCTTCAATTATCCATTCATCATCTTTCCACAAGAGGATATACAAGAGAAACATCCAAGTGAAACGTATAAGAAAATACTTATACAACAAATGATTGATTTACGGGAACGAACATAAACAAAGCAAGAGACATAACAAACGAATGTCTCTATAAAGGGATGAAAGGAGGAAGAAACTTTTCTGAAACAAGAGACTAGGAGAGAGGCTTTCTAATTCTGTATAAGCAAAAAATTAAGGGTTTTTTAAAATAAAATAAAACCTTTTGGGAAATTGGGAATTTTTTTGGGTTTAACAAAAAACAAAATTAGAAAAATTATAGACTCGTAAACTCGCCATAGACTCGCGAGTCTATACGAGTTTATGCGAGTCTACCCAAGTCTACTCGAGTCTATCAAAAAATGATTCTATGTGTGAGTCTACTCGTTTTTGCTTCCTAGACTCATAAACTCGTACGAATTTACGAGTCTACCCGCGAGTTTGACAACCATGTTTACAACTATACCTCTATCCACTAAATTCATACGGGTCGATAATCTATTTAGAACCATACGCCACGCGAACATCTTGATTTTCAAAGGAATGATAGTCTTCCACAAAATATCCAAGATAGATAGGATTGGCGCCTCCAATAACACAAAATTATCAACAAAAATAACGTAATCGTAATAAGATTTAACCGAAACATATTACTTCTAGCGGCCAAGACCATGCATCACTAATATCTTTACGAGGCTGAATATTAACCAACAAATTCTCAAAATTCTGCAATTCAGTAGCTAAATTTAAATACTCACGATGGTGGATTCTCCTAAAATTCCAACACCAAATTCTCAATGCATTCACAACCCACAACTAATTAATAGTTCTGTTCCCTATTACCATTTTCATTCCATGTAGTTTTTTTATAACCTCTTTTAAAAACTATTTCCATAAAAGTTGAACACCTATTAATTAAATAATAAAGGATTTATCTATAATCTATAAGATATATAAAGTCAATACTTGATTTTTGGTGTACTTTTTTTATACCAAATTTACCCTTATTTTAAAATATATAACTTACACAATAACTTCCATTGAACTACCACTATCATCTTTCATATAACTCCCTACTAATAACTTCCCATATAACTTCCATGTAAAATTAATATTAAATAAAAATATATCATTATATTTATATGTGTGCAATAAAAAAACGGACAGACGGGACGGGCACGCGAGTGCCCGTCTGGAGGCTAGTAATAAATAATTTATTTTGAGAAAAAATAAGCATGAGTTGCGAATATACGTGATTGTAATAATAAATTTATTTTAGAGAAAGATATATATTCTATTTTCTCTAAATAAATTTCCATGTAATTAATAATCTCATTCACTATTATCATTCCCACGTTTCCACATTTTTATATTAAATATAATAATTGATTAATAAAATAATAAATACCCATTCAAATGTAATCCCATAAAAATTGGAAAAATTCCTTTGAAATCCACAATTCTATTCCATGTTTTCTATTTTTTTTTTTAAAACAATCACTTTTTTAACACTAAATATTAAAATAATTTACTTTTTAAATATTTAAAAAAGTAATCATGTTTTAAAAAAAATTAATGACAAAAAAAATAGCTAAAAAATATGACACAGTGACAGTCAAAAACCATAAATAAAAGTCTATTTATTACAAATATATACCAAAATGCTTAAACCTATTATACTTTACCGAAGTAGGTACAATAAATTATATATCACAAAATTAGATTTTTACCTACGGTAAGTATCATAGGTAAGTATTCGATAAATAGACTTTTATCTACGTTTTTTGACTGTCACTATAATCATGCATCATCATGTACCTATGTACAAAAATTGAATACTTGCGTCATATCCGTTGGCTCGGATTGACAATGAATCGAACCAACTCGAAAATAGTTCAGAATTTGGTTCGACAATTAAATCGTTAAAATAGGTTCATAAACCAAATGAGATGAATATGAGTAAAAAATTAAGTTTGTTAACTAAATGAGCTGAACTTGAATTATATATAGTTCGATTCGTTAGGTTCATTAGTCAACTCGATTATATATGACATTTACGAAAATCACATGTGTAATGAAGGTTGTAAGTGTTGTAATCCTTCTACGATGAAAATGTATTAATTTTTAGTAATTTTTGATGTATTATTTTATTAAATTTGTAAGATTTCTAAATATTTAGATGAAGTTGTGGATTTTTGAGACAAATTGAAACTCTAATTGAGTAGTTTTTAAATTAGACTTTCAAATATATTTTTTGAATTAATAAATTTTTGAGGCAGTTAAATTCCAAATTGATTAACATTTTCTTTTTAAAAAAATATTAATTTAAAATTTCAAATAAAAAAATAAGCTTAAAATAATTTTTAAGTAAGCTGAAGTAAGTGAGTTGAACATAATGAGATGGACTTAACGAGTTGAATCTAATGATATGAACATAACGAGTTAAACGGAACGGTCTATAAACTTATAACGAGCTGAGTTTGAGCTTAAAAAAAATTCGTGTCAAACTCAAATCGAGGTTTGAGCTGAACTAATTCTTAACGAATTGAGTCGAGTTGAGCCGAATTCAATTCAAACTAGTTTAGTAAAAATTTAAAAAGATGGTTGTTTTGATATTTTTTTTAAACATGATTATTTTAAAAAAGAAAAATTTCGTTTTCTATACCTCCATTTAAATATCTATTTCCATATTATCAATTAATTAATAAATATATATTAAATGATAATAATAAATTAATTAAATTGTTAAATAATCAACAATTCCTTTTCCTATTACCATTACCAGTAAGTGGCTATTTTCAACATCAAGAAATTTGGAAAAACATAAAACACGAGATACTAATAAAACAAATGTACTGCGACAGTTAGCATCATAAGCATTTACATATGTTTGTCTAACTCCATAATAAAAAGAAAATAAGAGAAAAACAGTGAAAATTAACTCCAATAATTGAGAGCGACTCCTACAACCTGAATACCTAGTTTCTTGCTACAACTAAACTAAATGAGAAAAACAAGTTGCTACCTACCTAATTAAGCAACAAAATAAAAAATTCTAAACTTGAAGACCAAAAAAACAAGTTGCTACCTACCTAATTAAGCAACAAAATAAAAATTCTAAACTTGAAGACCAGAAAAAACAAGTTGCTACCTACCTAATTAAGCAACAAAATAAAAAATTCTAAACTTGAAGACCAGCCTCCAATGCAGATTCTCTATTAGTAGTAGTATTAGCTTCTTCATCAGCTTCACCAGAAATCTCTTCCAAAGATTTTCCTTTAGATTCCGGCACCAACAATGTAACCAACATTCCCAAGAAATTGGCTCCACCCAAAAGCAGAAGCACCTTTCTCAATCAAATGCTATTTTGAGCATACAAGAAACCAAAAGCACCTACCATTGCCCCAGCTTTTCCAGCAGCAGCCGATATTCCGTGACATGTCGACCTTAGTCTTGCAGGAAAAATCTCAGCTGGAACCACAAATATGGTTGCATTCGGTCCAAAGTTAGCAAAGAAGAACGTCAATGAATACATGACAACAAATCCGATTTGGTTTCCATTCAAAGTCTAGTGATGGTAAGGAATGACCAGTGCAAACATGAACACAGTCATGAAGAAAAATCCCATCAGTTGGATTGTAAATCTTCCAATTCTATCGATGAACGCAACCGTGAACCAGTAACCAGGAACAGTGCTGCAAAGGGCTATAAGTGTCTGTGCTCTAGCAATTTTATAAACCTCTTCAAGGGCACTCATGGTTTTAGCTTCTAGTATACCATCCAATTGCACTGAAAACATCTTTCTGGAAAAGATTCTGACTATAATAAGCAATATCCAACAAGAACCAAGTAGTAGCGGTTGCAAACAAATGCAGTCCATGACGGCGAAGAAACCTTTTTGTAAACAAACCAAAATCATTCCCTCCTTGTATTTGATTTTGATCCATCTGTTGAACTATTTCCAGTTCAGTTTCTATCTCAACTTGCATAACTTTTGACATATCTGCAGCAACTTGAGTAGCATTCTTTGCAACCAAAGCAATGTATCTTGCAGTTTCAGGCATTTTCATCCTCCAATAGTATGTCAACCCAGCCGGAATTGCACCGAGCATCAAGACTATCCGGAATTGCACCGAACATCAAGACTATCCTCCAAACATAATCAGCTTGTGGAACTGTGGACAGTGCTGGGTTAATATGAAAATCTGGAGCCGGGTAAAAGGCTTTAAAAATAGATGAAACTATAATTCCAACAGCTCCGTCGACCAAAATTCCAAAACCTTGCATGGCAAAAACGACAGCTATAAATGCGCCCCGGGTCTTTTTGTTTGCATACTCAGACATGATAGTAGCGGAAAGAGGGTAATCACCACCGATTCCAAATCCAAGCCAAAACCTAAAGAAACAAAGAGTAGATACAACAGCTTTTGGGTCCTTCCCAATAGAGAAACCAGAAGCAAGTGAAGATAGAACCATAAGCGCAAGGGTCATTCCATAAACACGTCTCCTTCCCATTTTGTCACCAAGCCAACCAAAGAAAAGTTGTCCGGCAAGTGTTCCACCGAAGGCAACACCGTTGATCGCAGCGGAAACATTTTGTGGGAGAGAACCTGGATTGTTGCCACCATCATAGTAATAGATGCGACCCAGCAATTTGGTGACAATGGAAATGCAGAAGAGATCATAGGAATCAGTAAAGAAGTCCATTCCAACAATCACAATTGCTGTGAAATGGTACATTTGTGTCTTGGCAACATCAAGGGCATTAAGAACATTCAACTGCTCCTTACCCATGATGATCACAACGCTTTCTCACAATAATATTCTAAAAAAATTACCCTAACCTGAAATATACCCAATAAAGATATTACAGACAAGATTATAAAATAAAAATGAAAGATTTGCAATTAAATTAGATGGAAGGTAAGAACTAATATGATAATTGAAATAGTAAAAAAGTTATTATTCTCACATCAATCAATCAGAAATAAATATAATCAACATGAAGTAATAGGTTGAGTAGATGTATAATTTTTATAGTAAATCTAAGATTATTAGAGTTATGCTTATGGTATGATAAAAGAAACAGAACATGCGATATTAGTGCATAAAAAAAGAAAGAATCAAAACAAAATTTCCAAAAATATAGGTAAACCAAAATTACGTGCAAAGCAGCCCTACTACATATGAAACAAGCTATATTTAAAACTTAACAGTACTTTTAGTCAACATGATTTTTTATTTTTTATTAAACATTTTAAAATACAATAATTTACTATTAAATTAATATAATTGATTTTGTTTAATATTTTTTAAATTAAATAAAAAACCAATTAATTTAATATTTATCACAATAGTATTAATTTTAAAAATAATAACAAAATGTTTATATGTGAATGAATGTCTTGCTGGCTTTGCCCTTATAAGCCGATTTTAATCATGAAAAAGAAAAATAATATTATTAAGTTCGATTAAAAATGGTTTAGAATTTAAAGGGTGGCACCAAACACTGTAATTAGTTATAGTTTATTTTTCAAAAGAAAAACACTGAAAAAAGTAAATAAAGAACATAGTTAATTAAAAGAGAATCTACAAGGTTTACTCTTTCATGAGAACGAGAAATAAAGAAAACGAATATAAAATTAGATAAAATAAAGTAGTTATTGTATTATACAATGGATAATATTAAAAATTTAAATAAAAATGAATAAAATACCTTAATGGTTATTAGCAAAGAGAGCAAAGGAAACACAAGAGAATGAAAAATCAGCAAAAAGGAATAAATGAATGATGAATGTTGGATTGATACTTGAGAATGAATATTGATGTTGTATTTATAAACAAATAAAAGAGTAATTCTTTAACTATAATTTTATTTTGTCTCTAATTCTACCTTTTTTCAATCTTCTCTCCAATAATATAACAACTTCCGTCCGTTTTAAAAATTTTAATAATACAAATTATTATTATTATTATTATTATTATTATTATTATTATTATTATTATTATTATTATTATTATTATTATTATTATTATTATTATTATTATTATTATTATTATTATTATTATTATTAAATAAATTTATTAACTTTCCATTAGAAATAAATAATATTCAATAATAAATAAAAATTAACCCCATTTGGCTAACAAATAGTAAGACAAAAATTTATAATTTATAATATATAATAAAAATAATAATATTAATTATTAAATCATATTAATTAATTAAATAAATAAAATTAATTAATAATTTATTGATTAAAATATAATTTAATAATTAATTATTAATTAAAATATTATAATCCTATATCTCTTGTAAAAGCGTATCTCCAAAACAATTTCTGTTAACTCACTTATTAGTAAATTAATTATTACGTGATTTTATTAGCTAATTGATTATTAGGTGATTTTCCTTTCGATCTTCTCCAAATTATAGCAACTTCTACTATTTTTAAAACTTTTGATAAAAAGTTTAATCTAATTTAATATTTAATAATTATTATGTTTATTTATTGCCACGTTTTCTACGTTGGCGGTTGAAATATTTTGAGTCCAACTCTCAATGCTACGATCACACTTCCACTACCATTCAATCTCCCAACCATTTTGGTAGAGATCTTTCCTCATTTGGTGGAAGTTAATTCACATAGTCATCTATTTCTTATTTAATGATGAGATCAGAAATATTAAAATTATCGTGAATAAAATTATCTTTTACTTTGGGTGGTAATTTCCTATTAAAAATAAACATAATTCTTTTTATACTTATTATGATTGTGATTTTTTTTTTTGTAATTATTGATTTAAATATTAGAGTGATTTAATGTAAATTATGTTCCTTAGAGTAACTTTAACGCATTGTTATTAAACCAATATTTTGTATAATGTTGCGTTAGTAATAAAGAATTTGCATTATAGTAGAGCTGATGTGATATATGAGATGCTCTAAAACTAGTTTACGTGCTCTACACAAGCAACGTACTCTAACTCATTATTTAACATAAATAATATATTTTTATTAATTATTTAACATAAATAATATATTTTTATTAACCATTTAATACTAAGTTTGAATTCCTTGTAAACAATCACTATTAAAGTAAAAACTTCTTAATTCAATTTTGAATTGCTTAAATCTTTCATGTCAATTTGGACCCACGTAAAATAAATTAGTTCATTCAATTTAGTTGCTCTCATTAAAGATACTCTTATGAATTAGTGGATACATATTTATAATATTTACTAAGATAATTTAAAAAATGTTTCTTATTGTGTATTATCTAAGTTTGCTTAATATTGTAAACTTATTTGCATTATTAATATTATAAATTAAATTTGGTTGAAATTTTCAATATCAGATACATTATGCATGTGTTTTAATTAGTGAGGAAAAATAAATGTGATTGTCTTGTAAATTAATTTAGTGACGGGAATAATACCCCTCACAGATTTGTTACGGAATCAATTCCTCATAATTAGTGAGATATTTAATATTTTCTCACTAATTATCAGCGAAAATGTATGAGGTGTGATAAATTTCAATTTAATATTTGGTGTTATATTTAATAGTGAGATATTTAATACCCCTCACAGATTTGTTACGGAATCAATTCCTCAATTATTTTGTTAGTGACAAAATGATTCCGTGTTATATGTGACGGATTTGTAAATTCATTTTTAATATTTTATGTGATATTAAAATTTATTATGAATATCAGTATGTGACTAATTCCGTCACTAAATTTGTGAGAAAATTTTAGTGAATTAGTGACAAAAATCTTCTCTCTCTAGATTTAAATTTTTTAATTGTGTTAGAACATCCAAATATACTTATTTGGATTCTTTAAATGAACTCCACTAATTAATATTTATATTATTCACTCTTCTCAATTATTTAAACAAATCTATTACATTTTTCAAATATTTTTATAATTTTTCAAACACTTTAAAATATGAATTCCAGAAAACTTTACAATATACCACGTATTTGTATTTATTTAGCATTTATAATAAATAAATAAATAATATAAGCAAAAAGTTGAAGAAAAGTGATTCAGTGCACCAACGTTTATAACCATTTAATGGCGATTTTAAACCGTCATAAATTTTCAATAATTATTTTTACAACGGTTTAAAATTATCGCTAAAAAGTTAAAAACAAAAAAAAAACTGAATTTTGTATAGGTTAAGAACCACAACTAAATAGTTAAAAGCTGATGACATCTAACTAGGGCTGACAATAAACCGAACCAACTCGAAAATAATTCGGAATTTGATTCGACAATTAAATTATTGAACTAGGTTCATGAACCAAATGAGTTGAATATGAATAAAAAATTAAGTTCGTTAACTAAATGAGCTGAACTTGAACTATACATAGTTCTACTCCTTAGATTCATGAGTTAACTCGATTACATATGAGAAGAATTATACTGTCTTTAAGATTAAGTTTAAATATTTACTCCAAATCTAAGACAAATTTAATCTTCAATTTAGTAGTTTTTGAATTAGACTCTCAAATGTATCTTTTGAAAGTTGTGTATGTTAAATGTAATTCATAGTGTGTAGAAACAATTTGTTTTGATGAGATTTGTTAAGATTTAGATTAGATTTGATTTTGAATATTTTGGGCCTTTTGTAACAGCCCAATTTTTAATAATCAGTTATTTCCATTAATTAATCGATTTATTTGGATTATTCTAATTATTTGAATAATTAGATGATTGTTTAATGGATTGGTAGATGTTTTGAGAAAGGAAATATATTGGAAAGAAATAAAGAGAAAGATATATATATGAGGAAGTGGAAAGAAGAGAAAAGGATAGAAAACATAAGAGAAGAGAAAGAAAGAGGAAGATGAGAAAAGAGAAGGAAAAGAGAGAAAAGCTTGGAATCACCAAGAACGACTTCTAGCTTCCGATTAATCAATGTAAGGGTGTGAAATCTTACTATCTTAATCAAAGTGTATGATTATGTATGTGTGTGTTTGGATTTGCTGGGTGTTTTCTACATTTTCCATTTTAGGTCGAAATGAGTTTAATCGGTAGAAACCGAGTTTGAACGGTTAGAATCTGAAATTGACAGCGTAGTTTAGTCGGGTGATGTTGGGCTAAGACTACTGAGGTCGTTGGGTTTTAATCGGTTGATTTCGGGATGATTGGATGATTTTGGACAGTTAGGGATTCTGAGTTCGCAGGTTCGCCAAGCGAAGCCCAACGAGTGGGCAGCGAACCAAGTCAGTAGCTGGCGAGTTCGTCGGGCGAAGGCTAATGGCGAGGGTTTCCCAGGAGAAGGAATCCAGCGAGTGGTAGCGAATACTTCCAGTAGCTACTGACTAGCTTCGCCAGCGAGTTCGCCAGGCGAATGAGGCAGCAAGCATTCGCTAGAATGCTTCGCTGGGCGAAGGTCAGTGAATGTGACAACATTTGTTTTATTTTGGTTGGTTCCATCCAATGTTGATGTATTTGATATAATTATGCAGCGTATAGCTTGTGTGCTGTTATATGATGTGTTGTGGGAAGCCGTATGGCGTGAATCCTAGATTATGAATCGATTGTGAATATGTGGCCTTTTGGCATATGTGATGAATTGTTTAAATTGATTAAAATGCATGAAGAATGTGATTGAGTTTGTTGCTGTTTGGCACGATACTTGTAAGTGCATATTGCTTGTATGCAATGGTGGGTGAAGAATGCATGAGAATATATATTGCGAGTACATGTGCATTGTTTGGTAATGTAAGAAAGATGTTAGAAATATGTATATGCGTTGAGTCGTACTCACTGGGGTAGAAT